ACGTCCCACAGTGGGATTCGAACCCGCGACGTAAGGAGGCAATTCAAGTAAGTTCAAATAGGGCCATTCCAAGTTTTTTCTCTGTTTAGCGTCCACCCATCTTTCAAAAACTTACCTACCTATTCGCAAAAAACACACAAGCCAAAAAATAAAACACAGACTTTACAGTAATAAAAATGACATCATTCAAAGTATTTGATTTCATGAATCTATTTTTCTCATAGAAATATCTTCTGTTTGTTAAAATCAAGGTATTAAATGCTTAAAATATACATCATATGACGTCCTAGTGAGAAATATTTAAGGAACTTAACAAATTTCCAAAATTTTTTACAAAAATAATCAATTTTAGGACTCCTGATTTTGTTTGTTTTTTCTGATATGGGGTGCCAAAATCCAAGGCGCACGCGGACGCTAAACATAGAAAAAACTTGGCCTAGGATTATACATGACACACCATCCACTGGTATCTAGCACAAATGCCTGCTAAGATACCTCATTTTTGTGAGGGAATTTGAAAGTGGCAATACTTCGATGACAAATTCTTGTGAAAAATTATGTTATTGAGGAACGTATTGTCTGACCTTAAAACAACCTACCAACTCGACATTTTCAGATGGAAGAAAAAATAAAATAAAAACAAAAACTGAGTATAATTTCATCTTTCGCATAATAAAGGTCTGTCATTCAGTCAACTGAATGGTCACTGAAAGGTCTGGAAAGGTGACTGAATGGCAGAGCTCTGCCACTCAGCTTTCAGTAATCGTTCACCTATCAGTTAACTGAATTGCAAAGTTTCATTCTTTGTTTAACACTTATGTCCAGTACACCTTATGGTGTTATCTTTTCAAACTAATATGAAAAGGTTTTCGTGGAATATTAAAAAAATTGTAATATAACCTTATGATATGTATTCAGATATGTGGATTCATATTTTGGTTGATGCTGCATGAGGAGGTTGGCGATGAATGGGACTTTCATTATCCTTGGAGTCACTATAATTACAAAAAGAATACAAATCTTTGTTTTTTAATGGTTGATAGAAATTATACCAGCTAAAAGCTAACCTATACGATTTAGATCTTTCAAATCATCGTCATGTTGTAAATTTGAATTAATGCAAATATTACTTATACTACAATTGACTCGTTGCTCAAATCATACTATATGATGAGTTATTCTATATTATACATTATTTGTAAAAAATCACAAAACCATTGTCTGGTTTCTAGAGGAGGGGGCATCTCAAAAAGTAAAAAAAAAGAAAGTTTTTCCCTGTTTTATGGAGTATTACAAAATACAGATACATGTGCTAATGATTTAAACAAAACAAAAAACAAAAAAAAAAAAAAAAACAAAAAACAAAAAAAAACAAAAAAAAAAAAAAAAAATCAGAAAATAATTTAGAAACTTCAAGGGGAAGTATTTTTTACTTTTTCTTTTATAACATTTTTCATTACCCCCTCTCCGAGAACTTTATTTGATCATAACGTTAAAAACTCAAGTATTGTTACGTCCATCTACTTATCAATACAAAAGTCGTTAAAATCAGGTTTAAAATTATAATTAGATTTTTTAACATATTATTTCTTAATGTTGTTTAATTTGATAAATTATATCAAAATAGTTTCTCGAAATGTGTAGCTTGATTTTACTATGTTGCACAAAGTATGGCACAATGACAACCCCAGTCGGCCCCTTAACAGGGTTTCCGTTCATACATAATGTACAATATATTACCACACGGAAACTTATAAATTTATAACTTGACCACTATACTGTACATAAATGTTACTTCAAAGCGGAAATACGTACAATTAATTTTATCCATTTCCGTATTGCCTCTCGTTAAGAAGTAGAAAGATAATAACAAACACAGCTGGAAAAAAAAAAAAAACAACGTGTCAAAAAATTCTATGAAACAAAATTCACATAATCTGAGCATTGTTCTTGCATTTGGCACTACGATTACATAATCATTTAAAAACCACTGCTGAAAGAATTTTAATATCTTTACTGAAATTCCTTTTTGGACCTTTGAAGTATAAAAACGGATTTTTGTTTGTATATATGTTTTTTTTTTTTGGGACCACTTAGTAATTTTAGAGTAATTTTTTTCAGCTTTCTTGGACGTACAGTTTATTTACATGTATATGACTTTAAATTGTATCAACATGACGTCATATTTGCTTGGACACTTGCAATGCAATGTTAAACAGAAAGAAAAAAAAACTATAATTCCAGAATGCACTTATTTATTAATTATAAGAACAGTTTTACCTTTGTTTGAGTAAGTCGTTCTTTTTTAAATTTTTCTTCGAGCTCCGACGAATTTGCTACACATATGGAATTCTCAGGTTTTTCGCAGTCTGTATATTCTATACTGATATTTGGTGTAGGAATGGTGCAACTGTCCTTGCCTTGTTTCATTGACACATTAAAGGTACCTTTTTCAGTACTTCCTTTGCATTTTATCCATAACAAAAGGGTTATATTTAGTGCAAAAATCTTACTTCAAATATAATAGAAGCAAACCTATTAAAAATAACTTTAAGATTTTTTTAATCTCGTTAGATACAGTGCATGTTAAAGGGATAAAAATTCTCAACTGTTAAATAATTATTACACACTTGATTCGATTACGGCTAACTTTTAGATACAGCAAAACTTACTTAGAAGGAAATATGTTATATTCGGTCAACAGGAGATATTTACTCCTCCATCTGGCACATTTGATAAAGAAATCTTGTGTCTAGGAAAGTTATACATTATTTTAACACTTCAGATGTATTGAAAATCATACTATAAAAATGGCATGGCCAACCTTGTCTTAACTTGGCTTCTATTATGGCCTCTAATCTGGCTCCAACCAAATTTTGTCATTGCCTCAAAAATGGTCTTGCAACAAATTCGGCTTCTTTAAAATAACTTGTTTAGAACCCTACAGCATTTGGTCAATTAGTTGCATATGAGTATTGGAAATTTTTGCTTGATGATTTTCATTTGTTTGAGTACATAAAAAGTCCACCTCCATAGAAAATCATTTTTTTTTAAATATTAAATAAAGTACAAACCCATTAACAATTAGTGAGGAAACAAGAGGCCAAAGTGCCTTACCGGTCATCTGAGTATAATACAACAATTTAGAGGATCCATAGAGTATAAAATGAACTGAAAGGTGAAGCTTTGTTGCCCAAAAGCAAAAAAATAGGGTGATCAGGTTCAACAAAATAATTAGTCTAGTATTCATTAACAGTTCATAAATTAGGTTCTAATCTGTTCCTCATTTATCACTCTCACCATACAGTAAATTAACAAACTATCATTGCTTCTGTATTTTAATTCCTTCTTGAAATCTCTTACATGGGCCTCCCTTGGTCTTTGATGAACATTTAATAAGACAAGCTAATTTTGTCTCATTTTTATTTATCTATTACTTACAAGTCTACCTGATCATTAAAACTATGAAAGTACTTTTTTTTATTATACAAAAAAATTCTGCATGACTCTCTTATTCTATTAACCTTTCAAGTACATTTTTACAGTGATTAATTATCAAACAAAAAAAAAATGACAAAAGGGATTCCTCTTAGTAGAATACAAATTAATAGAGCCCTGGCCAGGACCAAAACACTTAACCAAATGGTCCAGACGTTCAAAAATCTGGTAACAATTCCTTATCAAAACTTTTACTCTTATTGCCTCTGAAATGCCCAGGTGCAGAGAAGATTTTAAAAGAAATGATGCATTTTACTACAGATTCACTGTATTATCAACAGAGCCCCCCTCCCCCCCCCCCCCCTCCCCAGTGAGAAACACCAGAACCTCTCACTCTGGCACCAAAAGTTCGCTCATCATAAGTAATCACTTTGTTTATCTGCTTAACACTTGGGAGCAAACAGGATTATTTAAAAGAATTAATGCATTTTCACTATATTATCAACAGCCCCACCCTTAGCTTACACCAGCACCCAGGGGTCATGCAATTCACTACTTAGGAAGAAGCACTCTTTCTCATCATAACTACATGTATATACTTAGCTTCTTTTCTTTTTAGACAGAAGCAGAATTTTTTTTTTTTTTCAAATAAATTTTTCACTATATAAACAAAAGAGCCCCCTACCCCCCCCCCCTTTTCACCAGAACCCTTGACCCTGGGGCCATGAAATTCACAATTTTGGAATAGCATCCTTGCGTATTATAACAATGTTCTTAGTTTGTTTTAATAATACCCAGGAACAGAGAAGAATATTTTTAAAGCATTAATGCATTTTCACTATATAATGAATAGAGCCCCGCCCTAACATCAAAACCCCTGATCCAGGGGCCATGAAATTCTCAATTTTGGAAGAGGCATCCTTGCTTATCATAACTATTAATTTGTTTGAATAATGCCCAGTAGTAGAGAAGAAGATTTTTCAAATAAATAATGCACTTTCACTATATGATCTATATAGCCCCATCCTGGCACCAGAACCCCTGACCCTGGGGCCATGAAATTCACAATTTTGGTATTGTCACCCTTGCGTATCATATCTATGTATTCAATTTGTTTCAATGATACCCAGGAGTACAGAAGAAGATTTTTCAAATAAATAATGCACTTTCAATACATGATCTATATAGCCCATCCTTAGCACCAGAACCCCTGACCCTGGGACCATGAATTTCACAATTTTGGTAGAGGGCTCAATGCTTATTACATTCATGCATACAGTTTGAATGCTTGATGTCCAGGAGAAAAGAAGAAGATTTCTTTTACAGATTGCATTAATTTTGGTGGTTTTAGCCCCACCCCTCAGGCCCCAGGGGAGTAGGGACCATGGTATTCATAGATTTTGTTCCCCTTCACACATAGATGCCATATGCTTAAATTGGCTGAAAATATTCAAATGTTAACACACCACGCACGGCGGACGAAGCACGACGACGGACGAATACAGATAGCAATATTAATAGATCACCTGAGTGACTAAGGTGGGCTGAAAATCAAAATTCGTTTAAGTTCTTAGGTTATTACTACAGAACCTATCTGCTCTCATGTCTTTGTTGTCTGAAAAAGTTAAATGTACGATATCAATTACAATCACATCAAACCTGCTTCGGAAAATATTTTTATTTAAAACCAAAACTGAGATCAAATACTTTACAGAGCAGAAATGTGAGGCGAGGCAAATTTTAAAGCAAGGCCAAAATTTGGTTTGGCACCATTTTAGAGGCAAAAATAGAAGCTTGAATAACTTTGAGGCAGTACAGGCCAAAGGGGCCAGGCCAGGTTTTATAATAAGGCATAATAAAGTTATAAAGGGAGACTCCTTTTCAAGATGGCTTCTGTGTACATGTAATAGGATGTTCCGTACTATGTACCAAACAGAATTGTAATCTAACAGTCTTTTACCTATATTCAGTAGGAAATGTCCCGATCCAGTAATCGTTATTTCTATCCCACAATGCTGAACTTTTCTGTGGAAAATAAGTAAAATTGCATTTATTTTTTTCAAAAAATGTAAGTATGAATGTGATTTTTCATAAAATAATATTTGCTGACTGTTTAATAATTAGTTTAATGCATTTTCTTTTCGACTTTGTATTTATGTAAATGGTTGTCCGATTTACACTTTTTCGATTACCTTTTTTCAGTAAATACCCTAGGCCTATAGATAGGTTTCGTGCACATTTTAGAAAACAGGTATTGTCTTCTTCTTTTTTTTTTTTTTTTTTTTTTTAAGAAAATCTCGATATGGTGATTCCATAGGCATTAATGAATGAATTTTTTAAAGAAAACATACAATTAATGTGTATATGCACTGGGAAAAAATGCAGTGGATGAATTTGATATGTACAGTGTTCAATGTACATAATTCTGCATATAATATCAACATTACATTTCCTGAGATTAATTTGCACACATCTTTTTTTTTTTCCTTCCAAAATATGAAAACACCGAGGTTTAATAGTCGGTATCAATGAAACCTACTAATGAAAACATGTCGTGCGAAGTTAAATTACCGCAGCCATGACGGTCAACAATTTCTGAAAATGTGTACATGACACGAACTTTTCTTAAAAACTTAAACTAAAAAAAATAATAATAAAAGGATCCGTATAATTAAAAAAAAAAGTTTAACTATGAATGTGGATAAGTTTAGAAGGATTTAAAAAGTACATAGACAAATATATTAAGGATGCACAAGCAAATCAGATTTTTTTTTTTAAAATTATAATTCCTACTACAGATGTTTATAAAATCGCCTAAAGCTTCTGTGAACATGTCTGAGATTTTCGATTGAAATGGGGCAGTACCTTTCGTCTTTATCTCGACACTCCACTTTTCCACTTGCATTTACCGAAAGAGTATCGATAGTTACACTCAATCCAGTTGTTTTATTAATGAGAATAGATGCGTTCAAATTCGCATAATCTGTATACGTTAAGCTGCAAAAAATAGAATATTTCTAATTGAGCAACGAACATTCTGACTTTGTAAAAAATGTAAAATAAAAACAAAAGCGCATATTTAGGGAAAATCATGCAGGAATTAATATACCGAAATTTAAGTTAATTTCAAATTATTTTAAAAGTTACGTTTATATACACATTTACACATTTATATGTTTTTCAAAATAAAAAAAAAGGAAGAGAAGGAGCTCGAGAGAACACTGAAAATTGTCATTTTTAAGTTTTATTTCTAATAACATAATTAAAATAAAATACTTTGTTCAGAAAAAAAGAAAAGTAAATTCTACTTTTGAATCGAATAATTGACATGGCTTGTCGTCACGTTTGCTGTAGGTATGCTGAATGTTGAAAGCTTCACTTTCTTAATAGATTCCAAAATTGTATTCATGGCTGAAAATTATAATAATAATAATATTATAATAATAATAAGAAGAAGAAGAAATGAGCTTGCAGTAGTTTGTTGTATCTTTTGTCAGTTTCTAAGGGGATCAATTTCTTAATAATGGTTATTATTCCTCAGAAAATGAATAAATATGATCCAACATTGTATTGACTTGAAAATCATTCTACTTACTGCTCAGAATATCTAAAACAAAACTGAGGCAACCATGCATACCGTACGTAAGGCCGTTCTGTGTGAGCCTGATAACAACTCCAACATTGGCACTCTCTTCATTGGATTCCATAACAAAGAAGACAACCAGCAGTATGAGCACTAGAGGACCCGTGGTTTTGTTATGCTGTAAAAATAACCAAGTTACCAAGTAAGATCGCCGTATGATTATATTTACACTAAAAGATTTGCTTTACATCTTAGTTGAGATGCTTACCTTCAGGAAATCTTGCCAATTAAAGACATATAGTGGCCCAGTTGGCGCAGTGGTTAGAGCGTTTGCCTCCCCACCCCACTTTTTCAGAGTATATTTTGTTATGCTAAATTTTCCTTTAGATGCTAATCCCCCCCCCCCCCCCCCCCACACACACACACACACAAATGTTTTGTAGCTGTAAGGTCGAGCACTGACAAATTCCAAAATTTGGACAATTATTTTTTTTTTCTTTTTCTTTGCTTGTCAGATGTGAGATTTTTTTTTTTGGAAAGTTCCCCCCCCCCCCCTTTGAAACCGCAGTTACGGACTTGGGAGGTGTTTTGAAAGAATATATCCCTTAGTTATTTCACTAATACGGATTTAAGCTTTGTTTTTCCTCCTCATAAAAATAAAGTAAAGCAGTTTGTATTGTATTTATTGCAACTTACATAATCTCTACTTTCAGAGATGAAAGGACGAAGAAGTTGATCAAAAATGTCGATTAAGACCAGATTAATAAATTTATTCCAATAATCTAAACGTATCTTACCTTCAAATACATTATTAAACTTCCTCTTATTAAGATTCCATAATCTACACAAGGCTTGTTTTGAATTTCGAAATGCAAACGTAAGCCCTTTATTAGTGGAAAAGAATTAAATGAGGAAGTTTACAATACAATATATAAAGCTGCAAAGCAGTGAGAGAGTTAGCCATCAATAAAAACCTCTTTTTTGTACTTCCTTATGGGTATAAAAATGAACCGGAAGGTATTAACGTAATGTAAAAAATACGTATTATTAAAACATTCAGATGTTAAAGCATTAAGTTTGCCTCCATTATTATTATTATTTGCGTGCATCCACATGTATACGTGCTCAGGGTTTTAACTTTAACTTGAATGTATTAAACTAATGGACAATTATCACCCGAGATAAGCTTGAAGGAAGACACATCTTGTGAAAAGCTGAAATAGAAATGGGAATCCCCTACAACCTTTGTCCACTCCAGCTAGTGGTGTCCAGCTACTGTCATGAAAATTTGAGAGTGACAGGCTTTAAACAGGATAGACGTACAACAGAATGGGGGAGATAACTCTTGTGATTTCGATTAAACCTTTAAAGGTCATGTCAAAGACGTTAAATATTAAGCGTCAAAATGACGATGCATTTTAAAGAAAAAAAAAATGGGATTCGGGACTTTGATTGTGGTTTCTTTATGAATATCAGATCAATTCCATGATTATTTGCGCATTTGCATCAAACCCCCTCCCTTCAATAAAAAGACGAAAGGAAACTAAGGTTATCCCTTAAACTGCTCTAATTTCATATGTATCCGTGATCATACAACAACAATTTGTCACATTGCTTTTTTCCGAATTTCGGCGACATAACATTCAGATTACCGGTCTCTCCTATAAGTATGCAAATTGTGTTTTTATTTTATAAAAATAAAATACAGTTTTTAGAAGTTCATTGATCAAAGAAGAATAACTCTAATAATGTAGATATATGCTTCCCCTCCCCTTAGTATGCATATGGCTATTCTTCCAAAGGATTGTTTACTGAAATAAACTGTATACAATATTTCATTGTGGCAAAATGATATGACCTTTTACTGTAAACGATTAAAATTCGAATTCTTCGAATAAAAACAAAACGTTTGATACCGCTGTGCGTGATTGTTCAGGAACATGAATAATTTCACAATAGATAAAGAATTTACAGTTTGTTACATTTAATGTTATATGGTCGAAAACAGAATTTCCGTTTTATTTAATTATAGAGCAACAAAAGGTTGTAAACAAATACATCGGGGTGCGGTGTGGGATACCGCCATGCCTCTCTTATTTAAAATAATTTAGAAAGTGTATCTATTAAATAAATAAAATTCAATGCAAGTCGAATTCATTTAGAGGTATGAAACTGAATGCATGTTGATGAACTACAACCTTTGACACGTGGACATATAAACTATAATTAAGAATCCTTTGAGTTAGAAAATGGGCTTTATTTAACACAAATGACACAAGTACATATAGTCAATATTTAATCTTGAATATATGAACATTGGATAAATAAAGGAATAAGTACCTAAGTGATTCCATAGACTAAATTTATCTGCAGATGTAACCGATGTTTCAGCAAACTCGAATGGCCTGCGCTGCAGAGAAGTAAAGGGGGGGGGGGGTCTTAAAATTTCAGATGCCAATACATCTTCAATAAAATGCATTGTAAAGTTTTCAGTTATTTAATAAAATAGGTAAAAAACGTATTAAAAGCAGAAGATATTTTCCAGCTTGGGTTCATGTGTTTATGTAGATTCATAGCATTGTTTTCGTCCCAAGTCTGCAAGGCGCTGTGAGAAGCGTAACTTAAGGAGAATAAGGGGGGGGGGGGGGTTCCTATAATTTCAATTAAACAATGTTTAAAAATTACCAAAATAATAATAATAATAATAATAATAATAATAATAATAATACCAAGAATATATTGGCAACTAGCTACATGTAGAAAGTATTTTTTTCCCAAAAATCAAACGATAGGGGTTTTTTTTCATAAAAAAATATAGTATTCAAATTGATAAACACGCATTTTTAAGCTAAAATGATCCATAGTTTTTAGTTTTAAATCCCTCTCAATAACAGAAAATGAAATAATTCTCGATGTTAAACTGCATAAGAGTACATATGTAATAAACTACATCAAAACTTACCACTGGATTCATTTTTATCGCTAGATAAATCCCACACAGTGACAGCAAGATAGAAACAAGTCAATGATCGCAATGCACCTGTCGACATGACATTTGACGCATTTTATGTGTAGTGAGAGGTGGATCAACAATTTTTTTTTCATAGTGAAAAATGCATTTTATCATTAAAGAGAATATTTGCAAATGTTAGGTAGACCATCAATACAAATCTGAAACCCTTGTTTAGTGTCATTATTTAAATGCTATTAAGAGAATGTATTGAATTAATTCTACCGTGTATTTTGTACAAGGTTTGCATGTTTCACGCAGAGGTGCTTCATTAAATCGCTTTTTTTTCGCAAGGGCATACACTTTATAGATCTTGAACATTTTTTTAAATATACATAACGGAAACATTCCTAGAATAATTAATTATAAATGATTAAATCCCCCTCTCCCCAGGAAAATGTCTGCGTTTTTATCAGATATCCATTCGAAAAAATCATTAGTGTAATTAGCATAGCATCACTTTGTTAGAATAATCTAACTGTGTCTCGGGACAGGCCCTCACCACAATTAGAATGCCTCCCATATACCCGTAATGTTGCAGAAAATTGCAGAATTGCTCCGAAACGATTTTGGAGAAAATTAATGAAGTTGCATTGAAAATAACAGTCAAATTAATCATAACAAACCTTTTTTGAGACTGTAAATACCTTTCATCTAAAAATTTAATCCATATAATGGAAGAATTCAACACTTTTTCACCAACTTTTTTTACTCGTTTCAAATACACACCATGTTGACATTCGGAACTCTCGGGATTTTTCATAGTAAATGCACTGAGTTAGAGTTATCTCCCGTATTTTCCTTGCTACATGGACTATACACGGAACGCATCGTTTAACCGGGTCCGTAGGACATTTATCATTTTAAGGATAGAACATTCTATCTAAGCATCACTCGAAGCTGTCGTAAGTTTTCTTTAAAAACTTCTGGGCGTCTCAGATCCAACAAACCCTCAATATAAAACATTTCCAGGAGGTTGAAATAAAGAAGGTAAAACACATTTATTTAGTTATAATTACCACTACCCATCACAAGCAAATTAAGATTTGAAGGAAAAAAAAATCTCAAGGCTGCTACTAAAATGACAGTACACAATCCATCAGTAGTTATATACAGGCAATGCAACAGATTTGTTTTAGTGCAGTTTTGATTTAAAAAAAAAATTACTTTTAAAATTAGTTACCAAAAAGGTATGGAATGTCAGACATCATGTCACACACTATTCAAATTGCAATTCGAATTGTTGGGGTCATCTTTAAAATATTGTTTGTTTGTCCTCTCCCGGCCGAATGGCTAAAAATTAGCAGCCTGACTCAAAACTTTTTTTTTGAAACCAGGAAACATTTTTTTATTTAAATTAATTCCGGAATTTTCTCATCGCGTAAACTGCTTTTTTTTTCTTTTTTTTTTTTTTTCCAAATTTCACTAATATCTTCAATTTTAAATGTTTTTGAAAATTAAGGATAGATGTTGAATTTTTTTGCATGAAAAAGAAAATTACCTTATTCCTACTTACTGAACCGTTTTTCTATTATGAGTCGGGAGAGGAACATTCCAATCACGTTGATTGTTGATGAAACGGAGATAACGAACCCTAAGAAATTCAAAAGTCCATTTTAACATAACAAACCGGGTGCAGAAGAAAAAAAAATATTACTTGCACAATTTGACTATCCTTACATTAGTCCTTTATTTACATACTAAATTTGAAAACAAAAGATTTCGATTATCTGATTTAAATATTAGGCTCACTGCAGATGTGACCAGTCGACAGGGGATGCTTACTCCTCCCATTCAATTTAAACCCACCTCTGGAATTTCTGTGTTCCACTCATTCTACAGATTTTTATTGTTTATAGTTATTTTTAAACAATTGCTGTCCATTATTTTATCTTTCTTTTTATTTCAAGGGAAATGCCTCTTTTTTAGTTGGTTGGTGTGGAGATAAAATCTTCAGAATGTCTTTTTTGCATTGAAAAACAGAAAATCACAGTGGACAGTGCCTGATTTTAAACTTTTACAAATGTTTTATGAAATAAAGTATTTTTAAGTAAAAAATGCTCAAAGTCCTACTTCACCTCCCCGTGACGAGCAGGGGTAAAAGGTCTTATGCATGTCTATGTTGTACTGTATACGCATAAGACGCTGGCTAACGAAAGACGCAATGTAACGGTAATATATACTGTTAAATGTAGCGGTAATGTATCCTTTTTTGTAGCGGTAATGTGCATGTAGCAGTAATGAAAATTTTGAAAATGTAGCGGTAATGATACGCACCCATTTTTTCAACTTTGGAAAAAGAAACAAGTCGAAGGGTGAAAAATCTTGCGAATTTGTAGTTTTGATAAAACATAAACTTTCTGTTTCTCAAAATCTCCTTTACAATTTTTGACTTGTGGATTGGGGTGATGTCATGAAAAAACAAATGTAGCAGATGCCAGATTCTGGTTCCTTCCTCTCATAAATCTTTTGATCTTATTGCAATACTTGTTCTATGTAGACTCGTCCGGAAATCGTGTGGTCTTCCCGAATAGGAATCCGAACCACAGGACCACCACTACTGAAGAAAATGGCAAATAAAACTTTCCTTGTGCTCTTGCATCTCTATGCTCTTCCCGTGCGTTTGCCTTCTGGTCAACCACTTCTTGTTGTAATTTTTTCTTTAGGGTTCAAAGTAATGGATTCGGGTTTCATTTCCGACAAACGTGTATAACCACAATTATTTAATTTTTTTTTCAAAAAAAATTTTGTTCATTCTTACACGCTGTCGTTTTTACACACTTGTCAAAACGTATATGGTAACCATCGCGTTCTAAGCTTTTTCAGTATCAAATATATCTTTAAACAGATCAAACTACCCCCCCCCCCCCTTAAAAAAATATGCCTACTAAATTTGCTATGCGTTTAACAATCATTCAGACCTCATCAGTGATTAGTTGTTGAATTTCAGCAAACATTTCATCGATAGTTGTCAGTCTTGGTCGCCAAGGACGGTAATCATCTTTGATGCCCATGTTATCATTTTTGATCATTGCAATATACCTTCTCATTTGTCTATAAAACAAACATTGGTTGCTGTAAACATCACATATTTCAGTGAATATTTCTCTGGGATTCTTACTTAGTTTTACAGCAGCTTTAATGTGGCTTCTAACTTCAATCTTGTTTACTCATTCTTTACAATTCATTCACCAGAATGGTTGAGAATGAATGAGAATGGTTGTTTTCAATAGACCAAGCCCAATGTTGACATTACGTTGGTCTTTCTCTCAGTTTATGCATTGGTCAGTTCCCTTAATTCCAGGCTATGAAAATGCTGCAATTGACATCATTGCAAAGAGGGTTTTTTCCATACCAGATATAAACGTTAAAAAATACTACATAAGTTTATTTCATTCAAAATTGATTTCTCTTACGTATATAACTTAATTACCCCTTTCCTACTAGTACATATAATAATGCATGCAGATTTTGAGGAATGTGTGTTATTTTTTTGGCTATAATTTGCTTAGCTTCAAAATTATGCTTATATATATTAACAAAATTCTTTGACAATACAGAGAACTTTATAAATTACACATATAACTTATACATTTAAATTTTAAGGAATAAGATGGTCCATATTCTCATTTTCGTGTTCCAAAACGGACAAAGGCTTGTTAAATTAAGATTCGATTGCACAGTGTTTGGGAAACAGAGCCTATTAGGATGCCCGTTTGATGCAAAACCGACCAGTCATCTGCTGAGCAAGTGAATTTTACAACTGATTTAATATTTGGACATAAAAGGTAAGGTCATGATTTAATAGTAGACATTAACATTAAGCAGGTTAATTAAGGCAACACGTACCCAAATAATATTTCCGGTCTACTCCGTGTACTTGAACTACAAATAGGGCGCACGGATGAAGTGATTAGTCGATAGGGGATGCTTACTCCTCCTTGAAACCTGATTCAACTTCTGAAAACCGTTCACGGTAGCTCAGTCGATAGAGCGCTCGCTCCGTGATCGGAAGGTTGTGAGTTCGAATCTCGGCCGCGACTGACCTAAGTCGATAAAAAATGGGTAGCAACTGTTCCTTCGCCATGCGCTCGGCACTTTGAAGTGAAAGTTGCGGGTCCTTCGGATGAGACCTTAAAAACCGAGGCCCCGTGTCACGGCAGGCGTTGGCACGATAAAGATCCCTCAATGCTCAATGGCCGTAAGTGCCGAGTAAAGGTCAAAATTTGAAGCCCTTCACTGGTATATGGTGACGTCTCTATATGAGTGAAAAATTCTCGAATGGGACATTAAACAACAATCAATCAAACAACTTCTGATGTTTCTTGGGGCGCGCAAGTGATCATCATCTTGACAAGTAAAATATTTTCTTCGTTAAAAAACCTCATGTTGATATATGATGTGTATCTTAAAGTGCATATGTGCAAAGGCTACTTCCTACTTGTATACCAATTTTGTTTTGAATTCTTCCATATTCTCTCATTAGAGGTTGTTTGACACTAGGTATCCATGTATTGTTCAGGCAAAAAATCGTGCATTTTGAAGGAGGATAAAGCTGGAAATATACTTTTCTTTGGAAACATCTGCAGTGGATTCGTTCTTATCTTATTTAATTATTAAAAGCTTTGTATATTATATTTTATTTTATTTTTTGGCTCTCTCTCTCTCTCTCTCTCTCTCTCTCTCTCTCTTTATCTCTCTCTCTATAGGTATGGGGGATGGGGTTATGTGTGAGTGGTGTGTGGGTGTGTAAGAATATATGTAGCAGTTATCTGTCTGTGTCTGACTACAGACGACTTGGCATATACACATCTTAAATGCTTGAGTGTATGCTTGTGTGGCCGTCTTCAAAATTACTAATATGTTGATGTGCTGGACTTTACACGCCATGAAAAAGACGTACCTGTTGCTATGCTAGATGCCTGAGCGTATTCATATGTGTCCAGCTTCATACACTTTTCTAACTGTACCCGAATTTCCACGTATGTAATAAATTTATTTGTGGTGAATGCAAGTGTATACCTGTTTCAAACTTTATAGCTTTGTATTCTCTAATCTACAAGATTGTGGAAATTCAATTACTGATATACTGTATGTATTCTAAAGAAATGGAAAAAAAAACATAATGAGTTTCATACTCAATACCAAAATGAAAATCATTTTAAACGGTCGTCCATTCGACAATTGCTAAACCCGTACTTTGCATAAGGACATGTTGTGTTCCAGTTTTTCATAGCATTTTAGTAAATCAAATAGTGGTTATTTTAATGGTTATTTTGCACACAAGTGAATGTTGGTGAAACCAAACAGCATATAAATTTGTAGCTTTTCCTGGTACATAAACATTGTAAATAGAAATATAAATGATTAAAATTAAATCTTTAAATGACTCCTTCATCCGAGCGGTAATTTTGCAGTAAACGATTTTTTTTTCACGTCCATCTTGCTACTAGTTACAAGTGATAAATGTCTTTAAAACGTTACAAAATGCAAGTCGTTTGATAGTGGTTATGCATTATCTCCAAAAAATAGCGTCTATAATTAGCATGTGTTTATCATAGGAAAGATCCGTCTTTAATGTCATTTATGCTAGCTTGGATAATTATACAATATAGCAAAATAAAACAGAAGCTGATCAAAATTTAATCATTCCTTGCGGTCACGCACCAAAGAGACGGCGAGTAAAGGAGTAAAATTCCCTGACACTTTAAAAAGATATCACCTATCCATAATTTATAATTATGTAAATAACTATATTTTTGTATATTTTTAAAATTTATTTTTCATTTTCAAAATTATTAAAATAAAATAATAATAATAAAAAAAAGATTTTTTTCTTCTTTGCCTTCTTATTAGTCCCCTACCGGTGAAACCAGAGGGAACTATAGGTTTCCTCTGAGTCTGTCCGTCCGTCTGTCCGTCCGTCTGTCTGTCTAGCTGTCCCTCTGTCTGTCTGTCTGTCTGTCAATCAGTCCCACTTGGTTTTCCGCATTTTTTTTCTAAACGCTTGCAGATATTGAGCTGATTTTTGGTATGTGAGTGTATCTTGATGAGTTATAGATCAAGTTTGTATTTCGTCCCACTTCATTGATTTTTGACAGAATTATTACGTTTTCAATTTTTAACGGGAACCAGATTACACTTGCCGGTAGTGGACAAGTATTGCTAATGCAATACTCTCAGAATGCTTGTTTGATATAAACATGTACAAGCTTTGAGAAGTATTTTTGATTCGTTTATTTAGACAATTAATTTAAACGGAAGATTTCGGTCGGAACCAAGGTGTCCGATTAACGAGGCGCCACTGTATATTTCAATCTATCCATGGAATAATTTAATCTTCTGTTCGATTATAACTGCCATCACTCCCTATGACAATAGCGTTCTGAAAGATAAAGGGGGCAGAGGAAAGTAAGTGATACTAAAGATTTATTAAAAAATTATCTGTTAAACAAAGGATTTGTGAAATTTTCAATATCTAATGTTCCATGACTACAAGAAATTTAGCCAGGGAAATGTAGATTACTCTCTTTTGAATTCAGAATATATTCCATCTATTCACTTCAACTATTTAATACGAATCTCAAAAAAGAAAAAAAAAATCGTAATGGACTATCAGAGAAACTAAATTATTTCATCTTCCCCTGAATATTCATAAATACATGTATTATATTTGGATCAAAAAGATTTAGCATATTCTTATAAACAGTATGATGTAGCCTTGTTACTAGATTTTTATTCTGAATGCAATATAATCCTCTTGAGTTCTAACAGAAATAGTTTTGTTTCCATGAATTATTTTTTTTTTTAGTATTAAGCTCTTTTTTTTTCTTGATAAAATTACCTCAATTAAGTCAACAGTACTGTTTTGCAAAATTATTCTATCTGTAATTGGTAAAGGTATTCCATTTCTTCCGAGCTCTTAAATATAGTAAAGCATATTTTCAGAACTCTCCTTAAGTTAAAATTCTTTATGCAAAATCAGTATAAGGGTTTTAACTTTATTTCAAAAATCATTAAAAAAAAAAAAAAAAAAAACAAAAAAAAAAAAAAAAAAACAAAAAAAAAACATAAAATTATACCGTTAAGAACTGGTTCTACTGTTGTCACCACTGCACTCGTTAATATGAAGTTCACTGTCTGAATCTAAAGGATATAAATGAATTAATCAAGCATGAGGAACAATTTGATGTAAGCAACATTTCATTTTATTTTGTATTTTCAGCATAATTCAAAATATCTTTTCGTAAAGACAATCACTTGTTATGAATAATTTGTTGTCTGAAAGTACTTTCACTCCGTAGAATGATAATTTACTCTGTGAAGATCTTTATAAAGGAAGAAAAAGATATACCCTTTAAAATACTTCATAATTATGTCTCTTCCGTTTTGCACAAATGCTCAACCCCCCCCCCCCCGAAAGCGCAATACTGTATCCCTTCCACCTCCGTTGAGAGGGGATATTAAACCTATTAAATGATCAAAGTGATATTGTTTAATCTTTGCATAAATGTATATAAAGAAAATGATTGTTTCAAGGGAGAAAAAAATGTTCTTTTGCATTTCCAGAACAAAGTTCCGATGGTATGTTTCTGAACACTATATAGGTAATCGTCATATATCATGAGATAAAAAGAAAGGGCGAACATGTTAACTAAAATAGAGTTCGGTGAACACTGCCCGCATTAGCTAGATAAAGCAACAAAAACAATATGTGAGCCTGAAAAAAAATCACTTTTTAAACTTGGAACGATATCAGGATATTTGAGTCACGATACAATAGGTATCATTATATTTTAAATAGGGTATAAAGTTAACAACAGAACCGATATACAGCTTCTTATGACTTAACCTTTATTCGTGAAGAATTTCATATAATATATTCATATTACATATTCATATATTTGTTATTTAAACTATTTATTTTAATCCCAAAACGTTAAGTGTAAAAAAAAGTCTGAATTTTGTTTTCCGTCAAGACATTGCCAAACAAGTGTCACCATCACAAAACAATCGAAAATTGTCCAGGTCTTATCCTTTACAGAAAATGAATTCAAGTATAAAAAGGACGCAAATGTCTTGTAGTCTTCATTCTTAACAAAAAAATATACAGAAATAATCATCTATTGGTCAGAACAGGGTCAGATATGGTTATTAGATTTTTTTTATTAAAACAAATATTAATGTGATTTTTGTTTACATGCAACATCTCGTGTAATGCATTATTATATCGAGATTAATGAATGGTTTCTGTTATAAGAATTTTTTTTATTATCCTCCCATCATATTTTCGTCTAATGTTATATTAAACCACAAAGCTATGAAATATTGCAGGATTAAGGACCGTATTACTGAACATTTTTATCATCAGTTGTTCTTAATATAAACTTACATCAAAGCCTTCGACAGTTGACTCCATCTTTTTTAGATATGGTCTATATAAAAAAAAACTTTCATATTTATTACACATAAAAGGAATCAATAAAAGAAATTTAAGATTTAATAAAGATTGAGTCATAATAATCAATCGATCTTAATAAATATCGAGTTAAAAAGTCTTTTTTTATGTTAAAGTTTACACAGAAGGCTTAAGGTATTCAAAATTGTGTACCAGTGTGGTTCAAGATTCAAGATTCAAGATATATGCATATGCATGCAACTGAATGAATGGAGTATGAAAGATGAATGTGTGTAAAAAAAAATAACCTCATGTTACATTAAGGTATATGTAAAAAAAAAAAAAATACTATGTTAAATTAACTTATAGATTCCAAGGCTCCCCAACCCTGGCTATAAGGACGCAAATATATGTACTGGGGTAATGAAAAAAAATATTTATTTAAAAAAAAAAAAAAAGATTCAAGATTTTCAATATGTTTTTGTTATTCAACAAAACATGTTAAATGATCCATTTAATAGGGCTGCAAAAAGGGAAATATTATAATAGCCTATTCTTTCCATGTAAATTTGAACCAAAAAATCTAACTTTTCCAACGTTTTTCCTGAGGGGGACAAAAGAAAATCGACGTTGAACTGCTGAGTGAGATATTGGTCCTCTCTATGAGATATTGGTCCTCTCTATGAGAAATTGGTCCTCTCTATGAGATATTGGACCTCTCTATGAGATATTGGTCCTCTCTATGAGATATTGGTCCTCTCTATGAGATATTGGTCCTCTCTATGAGATATTGGTCCCTATGAGATATTGGTCCTCTCTATGAGATATTGGTCCTCTCTATGAGATATTGGACCTCTCTATGAGATACTGGTCCTCTCTATGAGATATTGGTCCTCTCTATGAGATATTAGTCCTCTCTATGAGATATTGGACCTCTCTATGAGATATTGGACCTCTCTATGAGATATTGGTCCTCTCTATGAGATATTGGACCTCTCTATGAGATACTGGTCCTCTCTATGAGATGTTGGTCCTCTCTATGAGATATTGGTCCTCTCTATGAGATATTGGACCTCTCTATGAGATATTGGTCCTCTCTATGAGATATTGGTCCTCTTTCTGAGATATTGGACCTCTCTATGAGATATTGGTCCTCTCTATGAGATGTTGGTCCTCTCTAAGAGATATTGGACCTCTCTATGAGATACTGGTCCTCTCTATGAGATATTGGTCCTCTCAATGAGATATTGGTCCTCTCTATGAGATATTGGTCCTCTCTATGAGATATTGGTCCTCTTTATGAGATATTGGACCTCTCTATGAGATATTGGTCCTCTCTATGAGATATCTCTCTATGAGATATTGGACCTCTCTATGAGATATTGGTCCTCTCTATGAGATATTGGACCTCTCTATGAGATATTGGTCCTCTCTGTGAGATATTGGACCTCTCTATGAGATATTGGTCCTCTCTATGAGATATTGGACCTCTCTATGAGATATTGGTCCTCTCTATGAGATTTTGGACCTCTCTATGAGATATTGGTCCTCTCTATGAGATACTGGTCCTCTCTATGAGATACTGGTCCTCTCTATGAGATATTGGTCCTCTCTATGAGATATTGGACCTCTCTATGAGATATTGGTCCTCTCTATGAGATATTGGTCCTCTCTATGAGATATTGGACCGCTATGACTTTTTTACGTTACATTGTAGCGACATCTTACATGCATTCGCTGGTGTTCCACATTTCCACATTGCATACATGGATGTCAGCGTAAGGCAAGTCAAAATAAATAGTTAAAGGTATATTGAAACATTCATTGACTGTGTGCTTGTGCAAAATGCATTTTATTGAGTTTTAACCATTTATAATCATTTTAACCAAACTGTTTGGATTTGACCTAACAGCCCAAGGCAAAGAGTGTGATATTACTTTCAAACATAGTCATCAAATGTATAATGTCACATAAAATTCTGACGTGACTACCGTAATCATAGAACTTGCTGTTTTCAACATCTTTAAATTGTACACGTAATTTGTATAATGGCATCCTTTCATTTTGTGGACAATTTGTAAAAACTGAATGTTGTTATTTTTACCGTCAGAAGACAGACGCATGAATATGAGTAGGCTTTAAGATGACGTTTTCGTTTTATGCCGTGTCGTCAGTATTTGAGCGATATTTTGGGTGGTCCTTAACCGAGTATAAAATCCAAGAATCAAAATTATATGAAATGAAAAACAAATTTTAAAGGGAGTTTAAGTAATAAGTTATGAAATTATTGTTACTTCATTAAATACATCCTCATAAACTGCATATTATCTATTAATCTAACACTTACTCAAACGCAACGATGTTTCCTTGAAAAAGTGAACCATTCATAAAGACTTTGATTCGTATATCAACACTCTACAAAAGGAATTCCTTATCTTAATATACATAATGTACTGAATATAGATCATGGCATTATATGTCAAATATTTTTTCATCTTAAGTTATTTTCTGAGACTATTGAATGCATTTCAGTTTTAGTAATGTTGGTCGGAGTTTTGAAAAGAAGCATTAATCTATTATATATATATATATATATATATATATATATATATATATATATATATATATATATATATATATATATATATATATATATATATATATATATATATATTTACTATTGCTATTATTTATTTTTTAAAAACCTTCATGAATGCCTGTTACTTACTCCATCCAATTTGGCAATTGGTATTGAAGTACTACGTGCTGGATGCCGAATGTATACAAACATTACTGTATAGAACGTCAAGACCGCCAAATTCTTCTCAAATGTCACGTTTGGGGTCTCCACACTGTAGATGTCCAAGTCCATATATTGATTGGGATATTTCTCTTCGAGCTTTGAGAAAAATACATTTTGAATTCCTTCATTATAGAAACAAAGTGTTCAAAGACTAATGTCCCTCTGATAAGACTGAAAAGTTCTAAAGACTATAAGTCCAAAAATATTCGGAAATCGTTTTATAGGGTTTTATTGTATTTTTTCTTAAAAAAAAAAAGATTTAAAAAAACATAAATGTTGCTACCTGAGCTGAAAACTAAAGTGAGCTTTTCTGATCACATTTAATCCGTCGTCCGTCTGTCAGTTTCTCTGTCTGTCTGCCCGTCTGTTAACGTTGCAGATTTTCGACTACTTCTGCAGAACAACTGGGCCAACCTAAATCAAATTTGCCACAGAGCATGATGATAGGGATTCAAGGCTTTCTTTTTTCAAATCAATGGCCATACCCTCTTTCAGGAGAGATAATTGAGAATTATTGAAACTTTTGTTTTATCGTTTATTAATCTTTTTCCCAAGAACCACTGAGCCATAAAAGTTGAATCGTACATGGAAGCATCCTCAAGTAGTGTGAGTTTAAGTTTGACCCCCTAGGGTAGGGTGGGCTCACCATTGGGGATGAAAGTCATATATAGAAATATATAGGACAAAATCTTCTCATGATTAGTCATATTAATATGGAAACATCCTCAGGTAGTGTAGATTCAAATTTGTTAGATCATGACCCCCAGGAATTGGGTGGGTCCACAATGGGGGATCAAAGCAAATTCATGATTAATCATATTAAATTTGAAGCATCTTCAGGTAGTATAGATTCAAGTTTGTTCAAATCATGACCCTCAGGGGTTGTTTGGGGCAACAATTTGGGGTCAATGTTTTACATAGGAATATATAGGGATTGATTGTTTGACTGTATATTGTTTTGCCTCCTGTTCGTGAATTATTCACTCATACAGAGACGTCACCATTTACCGGTGAAGGGTCTCAAATCTAGACCTTTACTCGACACTCAGGGTCACTGAGCAGTGAGGGTTCTTTATCGTGCCAACGTGACATGTTGCCTCGGGTTTTGAGGACTCATCCGAAAGACCCGGAACTTTCACTTCATACGGCCGAGCACTTGGCGAAGGAACAGTTGCTACATATTTTTGTCGACTAAAGTCAGTCGTGGCCGTGATTCAAACGCACATTACGATCACAAAGCGTACGCTCTACCCTCTGAGATACCGTGACGGCGGAATATATAGCGAAAATTTTTTAAAATCTTTTTCTCAAGAAAAGCAAAACCATGATTAATCATATTAATATGGAGGTATCCTCAGGTAATATAGATTCATGTTTGTTCAATTCATGGCATCCGGGGATAAGATGGGGCCCCCATGGGGGATCAAAGTTTTCATTGGTATGTATAAAAAAAATCAAAAATCTTTTTTTTTAAGAACAACAAAACCATGATAAGTCATATTATGGAAGCGTCCTCAGGTAGTTTAAGTTAAAGTTTGTTCAAATCGTCCTAAGTTAGCTAAGGTTAGGTATAGGCGTTTTTATGCAAATGAGCTAATAAAAATGCATTAGATGTACATCTCTTATACAGAGAATTCTAAATTTATTTTCCTACGCAGGTATGTTAAGGCAGTACCCAGATCATATTTCGGCGAATTTAGACTTTTATCGTAAAATGTAACATTGATAAATCGGAAAAGCCATAGATAAAATATTTACTTTAATTATCCATTGTATAGACGTCATTGAGTTTTAGGCTAAAAGAAGCACTCCACTACGACGTCATCACGTGACGTCTATAAATAGAAAAATTGCCTTTATGAAAAAGTAAAAAGTTCAACACTACCCCGGGGATAATTTAATTCTTTTTGTGAAAATAATTATGTAAAAACATTACTGGGTCATGAAAAGTGCTGCTAGAATCCTACTCTCCCGACACATAAAAAATTATTCCAAAGTTTCGAATGAAACCTTAGCAAAATTATTACATTTTGTACAAACGGTTCAAGGAATTCTCATCAATTCATGTTATTCACACGATTCTAGCAGCACTTCCCAAGTACTATAGAATACAAGCTTTCGATGCAAACAAAAATTATGTCTCAAAGTATGCGGCGTAGTGTTGAACTTTTGCAACTTTGTTGTTATAGAACGACAGAGGAAAGGCTGATCGGGATTTTAAAGCACTGCCTCTGTTCATTATAAGAAAACATGATTAGAATATATCAGCGTACCTGATTCTTAATCTTTAATTCCTTATGAATCACACATAACATTCATGTCATATGCTTTAAAACTCCCATTTTACATACTTGTTTACATGAATTCTCGTCACGTTTAATTTTCACTCGGCTAATATTTGATCAATAGTTATGACGTCATGGGTTTGGTAATTAACCCCCGTGATAAATACTTAGCTGTTTATGCCACCCAAAAACGACATGATTTTGTTTATATTATGTTTTTGAATGATTCCATTCATTTCTTGGACCTGAAATTAAACTTTAAATATAGATATTTAGAAATCATTATTTCTGAACTTCACGTCATACAGCTTACTATGACGTCGTCTTGTAGAGGCAAGTAGTATATCTCTGGGTGTAGCCTTAACATACCCGCGTATACAAATTTTAGTACCCACCAAAAATGTTAAAGCCAATGCATTATGAGGTCATATTATGACGTCATTTATCTTTACCACTGCGGGTAAAAACACATGAACAAAATAGCGTTAGAGCAAGGGCATATCCTATTTAATTTAAATAAATCATGTATTATATCAAAAAGAATATTCTAAAAATCACTAAAAATGCTGCACAAATCCTACGCACTTTCTCATTTGATAAAAAATTGAGGACACTTACACCGGACTGTGAATTTTTACCGTTTCAACTAAAAATTTTCGAAAAGTAGTAATGGCACTGCAGATATTTGTGCAGCAATATCAATAATTCTTGGAATATCCTGCATCTATGTATCCCTTGTTTCTATAAAACAAAATAAGGTATGCTTTTGCGCCGAAGCTATTTTGTTGTTCTTCTTTATGAAATTGTGTAGTAGAGAACGATGACGTCATAATATGACATCATAATGTGTACTAGGTATCACATAGCGTGGGTACCAAGTTTGTGTTAGAAAACATATTTTAACTTATTCCGTACGATAGGTATTGTCCTTATACGTTTTAATTAGTTCATTTGCATAATAACGACTATACTTTGGGTGCCACAGTGCACTGTCAGGGTTTAACATATGGATGTATAGAAAAAAAAATCTATTTTGTTAAAAACAGCAAAGTCATGGTTAGTCACATTGATAAAAAAGTAAGGTAGTGTATTCAAGTTTGTTCAAATCATGAGACTGAAGTTTAGGGTGAGCTACATTTATAAAAATCATGGTATCTTGAGTTAGAGTGGGGTCAAAATAAGGATAAAAGATTTACATCAGAATATAATATGTAAAAAAAAATCTGCTGATAAAGAACAACAGAGAGATATTGCCATATTGACTCAGGTGAGCACGGTGGCCTCTTGTTTGTTACAATTATGGATAAACAACATGATATTAAGCATCCTTTTATTATGTTTTCTAAATGAATCTAATATGTACGACACTAAATAGTAACCATTTATATATACCTCATATTTTTAATTTAATGTTGTGATGATAATTTAACGCTTTTTTTAACTTTTCAAATTTTCTCCATAGCATTATTAGGCTTAAAATTAATTTCAGTAAGAGTAAGCCCCGCTTGACTATTCAAAGTTTTCTCCTTTTGAATCTAATGGGTTTTTTTTTTGATAAAATACATATTTGAAATTCTAATTTCTTTATCGATGAAATTTTTAACAAAGAGACTTTAGATCTTAATTAAAAAGAAAATACAGGATACTTATGGACCTGAAAATGCAGAGACACATTTTCACAGAAGTACACTACTTAATACAATCGTTTAAATCAATATCTTCTTTAAATGATATGAAGAATAATAATGATCAAAAAAGGCATGGATTTATTTTTTTTGTAAAACTAAAGAAGCTTTTATAAAAATTAACAACTTTACACGAACCTCTGGTACTATGCGTCCGACACAAACACCCTCGGCACACGAAGTATTCAATCCCGGATTTCCAGGAAAAAGCTGAGAAAGGAAAACAAATAATATCAATGAAAAGTTGAAAATATTTCTCATAAATTTCCCAATCCTTTAAAACTTTCGAAAGTTTCAATCTACATACTAGTATTTTATCCTTATGTATCATGAAAGCATAAAAATCTTAATCATTTTGTTGGAATTCTCAAATGCTACATGTACCCAATTACCTTCTATGAAAATATTTGGACATTATTTTTCCCACCACAAAGATAAAATAGGTGAGTATATATATTTTCAACTGTAAACTTGCTAAATTTGGAAGGAAATTTAGGTTAACTTTGTGTTTTAGCTCACCTGAGCTGAAAGCTTACTTGAGCTTTTCTGATCAACTGTTCTCCGTCGTCTATCTGTCTATCCGCCTTTCCGTCCGTCTAAGTATTCAAGAACCACTGGGTCACATTTAACCAAAATCGGTATAAAATATCATTACGTACATATATATGGGAGTTTAATTAAAAAAAAATGAAGATTAATTTTCAAGCCCCATTACAAGAGAAGATAATAAAAAAAAAAGACCAAATAAGGTGGGGCTACAGAATTTTTAAACTCAAGAACCAATCGGCTAGAAAAGCTGAGACTTACGTGGTAGCTTCCCGAGGTAGGATAAACTCCAAGTTATTCAAATCATGGCCCCCAGGGGTAGGCTGGGGTCACAATAGGAAATCCAAATTTTAAAATGAAATACATAGGAAAAATCTTTATAAATTTTCTTTTTTAGAGCCACTCTGCAAGAAAAGCTGAAACTCACGTGAAGGCCTCCTTGAGAAGTGTTGGTTTAAAATTGTGCAAATCATAATTCCCGGGGTATATGTAAGAGTCGGGCCACAAAAAGGAATCCAAGTTTTACAATGAAGAAGAGTGTATTGTTTTCTTTTAAAAAAAAAAAAAAAAAAAAAAAGTCTCCCCTTCTCCAACAACATTAAAGAGTGCAATAATACGACCAGGGTAAAAAATAATAATGCAGTGCATCTGAGCTCAAATTCCTCCATCTGTGTATAAAACTTCAAGTCTTCATGTCAAAAGGATCTTACGGAAAACTGAAATTTTTATTCCCCTTGCTTGGGACTGAAATGGGCTGCGGATGAGACCTCGGAAAAGTCAAAATCCAGGGGGTGCATTTTCGTTGCTTGTTAACTCTTATATGTAGATTATATGCTAAATTGTGACATGCTATGTTTCTCAGTTTGTTTGATCTATGGATATGCAATCAATCCCCCCCCCCCCCCCGAAACTGTCCCATTTATAGAATCTGTTTTCATGTATATGTCTATCCATTCGGCACATGTTTGGTATTAAAGATGCTCTCGACCACCCTTCCCTTGAATAAGGTTTATTCGTTCATCGGTTCGAGTGAGTCTGACTGCTACGTAATTTGAATCGTTTATTAGTTCATTGAGTTCTGCACATTCTGTGTCATTACGTAGGCTCAATGTTTGACAACTGAATATTACATTTTCTCGATCACTGCTTTTTAAAGGCACACTCATTCCTGATGAGTTGGTTCTGATAATATTTGCTTCTCAATTTATGGATTTATCTAAATTTAAAGAAATGGTTATTAAAGTAAATAAGACAGTTTCGTGAAGAGAGGATTATTTCAGTGTAAATGAAGTGACATTCTCACTTAATATTTGTAATGACCAAATATGTTTTTCCTCCCCTATAAAAGATATATTAACTGAGTATCAAAAGCTTTTCGCCATCTTAGCTCTAAGACTTACATCCATTGATCTCTTAACAGCTATTTTTGCTTTTGCTGTGATTTTTTAATAAAATTACAGTGGATGCAACGTTATTGTTGACACACCAATCGTGCAGGCTCGTTCTTGTAACATGCGTGATCATTCGTGTAACGTGCGAGATCGTGCTTGAGTCGGGTTCAATCGTTTGCGGTTTTAAAGGGGCGTGATCGTGCCGTAAGAACCGTACAAATTTCGTTTTGTTAATTTTTTGAGGAATGAAAATCGTTAAATATTAAAGTTTTTTTAATCAATACAATATCGCTAATCAATAGATACCTCAAAAAAGTAAATCTTCTCCCTCCTGAAACTTTATCATAAAATCCAAGTGATTCTAAACTCACGAGGTCCACTTCTATCCGACAATCAATCAGAGAGTACTTCTTAATAACACATCGAACAGTTAAAAAATATTTTCAAGTTTATCTGTCGGAAAACTATGAATTATTTAAATAGATATTTGTTATCTAATATAACCGTTCAGTATTACTTCGTTTCGAAAATGTATATTCCTTAACATTTTTAACTATTTTGCGTGTAGAATCGTGCGTTTGCGTTAGCAATCGTGATCGTTTGTGTAACGTATAGAATCGTGTGCGTGAAGGATCGTTCGTGTAACGTGTTTAATCGTGCGGGATCGTTAGTGTAAGGTGATCGTTCATGTAAGTTGTCAACAATAAAGCTGCAGCCACTGTGTGAACTTTCAAAAAAGAAGTCTTCTTAATCCAAACACATTGCATTATTATGTTATAAAGTGTACTATAATTATCAGTATCCAAACTGTTTATCTTGAGGATAAAGCACATCATAAACATGACTGATAGATGTTATTTGACCAAAAAAAAAAAAAAAAAAAAAAAAAAAAAAAATCTCGGATTTTAAGCTCCGAAAATTAAAGTAAATGTAGGCATTTCAGAGTTTATAAATCAATATAAAAGAAGAAAAAATATTTAAAAAAATAACATTGTTAAGAAATCTGAAGAAGACATTTGTTGCAAACCAATTAAAATGCAGTGTTTGGGCTGAAAACACTAACCTTCTCAGGGGTGATTTTATAGTGGAGCATTCCATGTCTTTGAATACCTTCGAATAAAGATCGAACTGCATCTTTAGAAATCCAGATGTACACCATTTTTGATGATTCATTATGCAGAGTATAATGAACTGTTTGATTTTTACTTAAATTCTCCATAGTCGGAAACCATAATACTTCACCCTAGAATGTATTAAAAAGATGTTTTTTTTTTGTTTTTGTTTTTGTTTTTTTTTTGTTTTTGTTTTTGTTTTTTTGTTTTTGTTTTTGTTTTTTTTTTTTTGAATGGAATAAAATTAAGTTTGGTTTAAATACTGGTATTAAAACAAAGGAGTTCTGATTTCAACCCTGCCTCATTTCATATTTGAAAACTGTTCATTCTTAGAAAAGAAATAAAGATTTAAAAAAAAAAAAAAAAAAAAAAAAAAAAAAAAACTTTAAACGAAAGTATCACTTTGATCGTTCCATTTTATCTTTTATCTTATCTGTCTTTGATACTTCCTAAGAAAGGTGTAAGGGTTTATAAATTTTGGAGCAATAACACATTTATATGGAAAAATAAATCTATTCGTTGAACAAACTGATTTTTTTTTTACCAACAATCTTGTGTCAATAGGCATTTTTTAAAATTACTTATGATTGAAAAAAAATCAAACAGACATACTTTTGTACATGTACATTATACACATATTAGTTTGGAAAGCACTTTCAAGAAGAAAAAAGTAAATTAACTAGGACATTTATTAACTTGTATACATGCAATATAAAATAGTCCTATAAATTATATACGCTATTTGGAATAATTATTTCTTCAGACACGTTAAAATCCTTCAAACGGGATATTTTCATCTTAAACTCTTAAATGTGCAGTATATTTCAAGGTGATATCTTCTCAAAGTTATATCAAAAGACTTTTTGGAATATCGAGGAATTTTGAGAAACTACAATTTTACCTTATGATAAGTATTCAGAAATGAGGATTCATAGTTTGGTTGTTGCTGCATCAGAAGGTTCGCGAGAAATGGAGTTTGTCCTATCCTTGGAGTCACTATAATAACAAAATAGAATAAGATACCTTGTTCATTTCATAGTCGATAGATATAATATCATCTAAAGCTATTCAGACGTCGCAGCTTTCTCGGCATGTTGTTAAGGATAAATAACACAAACAAACTTTTTTTTCCAGAAATCAGCAATATTTATCATAGATTTATATTCAAATAAGTAACCTGAATGATGTTTACCAGGTAAAGTTGGAGAACTTTGTAAGATTTTTTCACAATGTTAAAAATACGTTCAAAATTCTGTATAGAATTATTTAGAAAACAAAACAAAGTCGCATATTTAAGCACCAAAGAAAACTTACGATTTCTTTATATTTTAGGGATTTATTATTTATATCATTTCTATTCAAAGTCAGTCAAAAAATATATATCAATCCGGGCATCAAATTTTTCGTTGTGTTATATATTCTTAAATGTTGATCATGAATTATCTGGATTTCAGTTCATACAAAATTTACAAATTTACTACCACTCAGGGTTAATTATAAATTTATAACACGACACTCTTACATATCTTCAATAAGAAAATACGTACAAATAATTGTGTTCATTTCTGTACTGCCTCTCGTTAAAAGGTAGACACGTAATAACACACATAGCTGGAAAAATATAATGACATGTCCAAAAAAAAAAAATCATTGAAAAAATATCACATAATGTGAACCTTGGTGTTGCATTTGGTACTATGACAACACAATCATTTAATAATGCTTCTAAAAGATGTTTTGTTTTATGTATTTTCTGGTTATCTTCATTTAATCTTTGATGTATAAAAGCGGATATTCCTTTGTGTATTTATTGCTTGTATCACTTTGAATTTTCAAAGTAATGTTTAAGATTTTTTGATGTACATTTTATTTACAAGTATATGACTTCAAATTGTATCACTGTGACATTGTATATGCTCTGATACTTGCGATATTAAACTAGAATCAAAGTAACATTACTGCAAAATGCATATACATGTACTAATAAAAAACTTCTACCTTAGCCTGAGTAAGTCTTTCTCTTTTAAATTTGTCTTCGAGTTCCAACGTATTTGCCGCACATATGGAATCTGTAGGTTTATCACAATCTGTGTATCGTATCCTAAGATTTGGTGGGGGAATGATGCAACTGTCCTTGTCTTGTTTCAGTGACACATTAAACCTCCCTTGGTTATTAGTTCCTTCACAATTTTTTCAATTACAAAATGATTACATTTAGTTTACAATGTCATGTTTCCAGTATATAGGAAGCAAATTTATTAAGGAAAAAAAGACCCATTTACTTTTTTATCTCGAGAGACACCACACATGTTAAAGGAATTAAGAATCTAAACATGAAAGTACATGTACATCTGTGAGGATCATGGTTAACTTATAGATACAGTAAAACTTTCTCAGAAGGAAATATATAGAGTTTTTTGTAAAGTTAAACTCGTACAATTTCTTTTTTTTTAAATCAGATTTATTGAAAGGCATAGTATAAAAACTGACCTGGTCCATTGATCTGTCTTTGATTTGATTATGACCTCTAATTTGGCTCCAAACCAAATTTGACCTGGCCTAAAACAATACTGAGCCCAAAATTTGGCTTCTGCAAAATAAGAAAAGAACCCTACTGCACTATGTCAATTACGTTCGTATGAAAGGTTTTTGGTTGATGGTTCTTATTACTTTAAGTACATAAAAAGGTCCATCTCGTTAGGAAATCATTTTTAAATAAAGTATTACCCATTAACGCTTAAAGAAAAAAAAAAATCAAAAATTCAAAATTCAAAAATCAAAATTCGTTTTAGTTCTTAGGCTATTTTTTTTAATTTTTGAGCTTATGTCTTTGATACAATGTACCAGTAAAATTTGTAACATTTTTTGACTGTATAAAATAAATTCAAAAAAAAAAAATGCTTATGGAAATATGATTGTTGGTTAAGCCAGGACTAAGACAAAACCAAATTTGAGGTCAGGTCATCTTCTAAAGCCGGGTCAAAATTTTGGTTTGGCGCCATTTTACAGACCAGATAAACTTTGAGGCAGGTCACGCAAAATGGGTCAGAACAGGTTTTATAGAAAGTCATTATGAAGTTCATTTTTAAACTAGGTTCTATGAAACTATGATGTTCATAACAATAGACCAAAATCATTTTGTAATTTAACGTTTTGCCTTTACCTATGATCACGAGGATATGCCCTGATCCGGTGATGGTCATCTCTATCCCACAATACTGAACATTTCTGGAGGAAAAAAGTAAACGTGCTTTATTTTTTCAAAATTTATAAATAAAATTCGATTTTGATATGACAATATTTGCCTTGTATTTAATGATTAGTTATATATTTTTTCTACTAGACTTCGTGACTTCGTATTAATGTACATGATTGTTTGACTTGGGTCAATAGACCTATAGAAAGGTTTTGTGAACATTTTAGAAAACAGACATTGCCTTTTTTTTTCTTTTTTCTTCATTTTGGAAAGGTTAATGCCATATGCAAGGATTAATTAAATGCTTTATAGAAAGTATACACTGGATGCGTGTATCAACTAAGAAAAAAAATACGGTTAATGATTTAGACATGTACAATGAACATAAATCTGCAAAAAAAATATCATCATTAAATATTTCCTGATATTAATTCGCACAAATCTTTTTTTTCCTTTTGAAAATGATAACACCAACGTAAAATAGTCGCTATCAACGAAACCCACTTATGAAAATACATCTCGTATAAAGTTTAAATTTCCGCAACCATTGCCGTCAACAGTTTCCGGAGAAGTCTACCTGACCGATTTTTAAAAACATTCATAAAAAAAGATCCTTATGATTTCCTTTAAAACAAGATTAAGCATAAATTTAGGAGAATTTACAAAGAAAATCTAAAGGTACACGAGCAAAGCAAACCTTTTCTTGATATAATAATGCACACATCAGATGTTTATAAAATTGCATAAACTACTCTGCTCATGAATGAGATTTTATTTGGATTGATACGGATGGGGAATTACCTTTCATCTTCATCTCGACACTCCACTTCTCCACTTGCATTTACCGAAAGAGTATGGACTGTAACATTCAATCCAGCTTTTTTATTAATGAGAATAGATGCGTTCAAATTCGCATAATCTGTAAATGTCAAGCTGAAAAAAAATATTCTATTTGAGCAGCAAATATTGCGATTTTGAGAAATGTTTAAAATAAAAAAAAAGAAAGCTTTCCTTGCCAGGATGCCTTCTGAAAATTAGAAATTAATATACAGAAATTAAAGGTAATTTCAAATTATTTTAAAACTCATGTTAATATATATATATATATATGTATATTCACATTTTGACATGTTTTTTGAACGTCTAGATAAAGAAGAAAGTGAAAGAACATTGACAATTGTATTGTTTTTGTTATATTTTAAATAGCATAATTAAAATCAAATACTTTGTTCGGAAAAAAGGTAATTGTACCTCTGAATAGAATATTTTACATGACTTGTAGTCACGTTTGTTGTAGGTAGGCTAAATGCTGAAAGATTCAGTTTCTTAACAGATTCCAAAACTGTATTCATGGCTGAAAAGGGAAAAGACTACATAAAAAAAAATAGAAAACAAAATTGATTCAAAAAATGAGGAATATTGTGTCATATAATTTGTTGTTGTACAGGTCATGCATTTTTTAATAATTATTTTCATAATTACTCAGAATATGAATAAAATCATTGATCATTTGATTGGCATTGAGAATAATTCTTCTTACTGCTCACAAAATTTAAAAACAAAACTGAGGCCGCCATGCATACCGTAAGTTAGTCCGTTCTGTGTTAGCCTAATAACAACTCCAACGTCAGCCTCCTCTTCCTCATTAGATCTTCTGACAGAGACAATCACCAGTATCAGCATTAAAGGACCCGTGGCTCCGTAATGCTGCAAATATAATATAATATAATATATAAATATATTTACACTAAAAGATTTGCCCAACATCCTAGTTGATATGCTTACCTTCATGGAATCTTACCAATAAAAGACAGATAGTCGCCCACGTGGCGCAGTGGTTAGAGGGTTTGCGCTAGAGTTGCAGAGTAAGCAGTTAATCCTTGCGTCGCGGGTTCAAATCCACTGTGTGACACGGGGACCGGTCCCTCAGATGCGACAATTAAAAAAAAATCTGAGATTGCGTGTCGCTGGCACGCACTAAATCCCTAACTGCTCAAATGTCGTTAGAGCTGAGAATAGGCATCTCTAAGGAATGTTAAACAAACAATAAAACAAACAAACAAACAAATAAGCAACAGTTATAAGTTATAATTTATAAACAACATTAGGGGGAAAGGAGTTTTGTAAGAAAATATTTCTTAGTTCTTCGACATCAATTGTAGCTTTGTTTTTCTCTTCTTAAGAACGAAGTATTGCCTTTTGTGTTATATTTCAATCAACCTGCATAATCTCTACCTTCAGAGATCCTATTCAAAGAAGAAAATGACCAGAAATGTCAAGTAAGGCAGATTATTAAATATATATTTACATGTATATAAGCATACCTTACCTTCAAATACATTATTAAACTTCCTTCATTTTTAAACAAGAGATTGGTTTTGAATTGCGTAATGCAAACTTTTTTTTTAATGGAAAGTATTTAAATCAGGAAGTTAACAACGACAATATATTTAGCTGCAAACCAGTGAGAGAGCGTGAAATAAATAAAGTCCTCTTATTTTTACTTCCTTAACGGCATAAAAATTAACCGGAAGTATTTAAAATAACGTATCCATATGAATAAGTGTAATTAAAATATATAGATATGGATGTGTTTTTATCATAATTGCTTGCATCTAGATGTGCTGGCTATTTTTACGTTATCTAGAATGGATTAAACAAATAAACAAGCAAGTGTGTTAAGGAAGCACTCAGATATTCTGACTTGACTAAATCAGTTTTACAATTTGACGTCACATTAGGCGAGATGACGTCAATTGTAGAACACAAATATTCTTGATATTGGTATTTAGAGAGGTGATTAAACTTCTGAAAAAGGAATAGAAACTTGCAAATATTAACAGAACTAAAATGTTTTTATTTTATTTTGCTGTATCTGTCACTTGGATTAAAATCTCTTACCGATGACGTCATAACTGTTCAACAAGAAATTTGAGAATTGATGATGCTGTTTAACAAGAATTTGGCTGAGATGGCATGTTAAAACATACATTAAAAGTATTTTAGAGTTTGTTAAACAGATAAAGTACCAACCAGTCCCAACTTGACAGATAGCAGTCCCAGAGTAGTCCCGGGGACTGCTTTCTGGGACTGCTCTGGGTCCCAGAGCAGTCCTACAGCGGTCCCACAGCAGTCCCACAGCGGTCCCTGAGCGGTCCCAGAAACTAGTCTCAGCAGTCCCAGTAGGCTGGGCTAATAATGTAATTGGCGGATCTTAGTCATAACTGAGATTACACAGGGTATCAATGAACAATGTCAGTAATATAAAGGAAGTTGATATTTAATGATACACTTCTTTTTTGGGAGAAAAAGTGTTAGACATGTTACATATACTGCGTATTTTCAATTCTTATGTTACAGTTATTTCTGAATAATAAACAAAATTACAGTATGTCTATGAATAAATAAATAAATAAATAAATAATAACAGAAGAAAAGAGACTTTCACGCTAATACAACTTAGTTACAATGTAAATACATCTCTAGCACATTAATTTGAAACCAAATTAAACCACTGTTTATTAAATTTTATTTATTGAAAATAGTTACCGTATTTATACGGAAGCCCGTTGAAGCCAGTTCAGAGAAAGAAATATTTTTTATTGCGTTTAAACGCAATAATTATTGCGCTTAAACGCAAAACATTGCGTTTAATCGACATAATCATTGCGTTTAAACGCAAAAGATTGCGATTAATCGCAATGTATATTGCGTTTAAACGCAAAACACTTTGCGTTTAAACGCAAAAAGATAAATTATCAAATTTTCATTTTTTTTTTTAAAGTCTCAATTTCCCGAGAAATGATCTGAATACTTCCTTCACATACCCGTTATCATCTGAGTAATCATCGGAGACAAGTCAGGATGAAGACGCTTCTTGTGAGAAGATGAAAATTTGAGACTGGCAGGCCGTAAACTTTAATTAATTCAAAATAAAAAAAAAAAAGAATTAAATGCAACAATTGTTTTCATATATATATAAAAAAAGAATTAAATGCAACAATTGTTTTCATATATTTTACATATTTCGAATATTTCATATACTTTTTGTACAATTTGGATAACATTTTGCCTTTTAAAAAGACAACGACTCATTTTTGGACCAGACATTTAAGAAGTGTTTTTGATTTGAACGTAATTGATATGTGTTTGGGTAAGACATGACTGGTAACCCAGTTTCAAAAGCAAACTTAAAAAGAAAATACCTCCGCTGATAATAAACGTATAAACCCCCTGTTCATTCGTCTCACTCAGGGTGTAAACAAATACCGTGGTTACAAAGTTGGGAGAGCTGACTTTTGTGAACACTTTTTTGGGTGGGGCGTAATGTGTGATCAAATTTTGAACATAGGGATTTGAATGGAAGAAACATGCTGATTGATTCAGACCAACAGGACTTTTGTTACCGAAATGAGCGATGTTTTTAATATCCCCATTGTGAATAAGTACAAGTACTTCTCAACATTTTACTTGCAATCTAGTGTCAGAATATAAATTGTAGGGATTTCATCAGCGATAGCAGAGATCATAGCTGAGATAGCAAGCTAATAGTAAAACGTTGTTGAAAAATATAACATTTTAAACTGGAGAATGCATCTAGTCATTTTAATGACATATCTCTCTCTCTCTCTCTCTCTCTCTCTCTCTCAGAAAATTAAATTACAGCATTGAAAAATATTCACATCTTTTGAATTTTATGTCCTTTATTTCTTAAGAAAACCATTGCTGTTTATCAGTCAGTGAACAATTCTAAGCATATCAACTCTTAAGATTTCTTGAACTGTGGCTCTTCCATCAATGAAACGTATACAATCACGTGCATATCAATAATACACTATTTCATCTATTAAATCCTACTTAAAATGACTATTTGTACAGGTATAAGTGTAAGCAATTAATTGCCTTTGTTTGTTAGTACGGGAATTAACGATGCAAATATTGCAGAAAAAAAAAATTACATTACCCGCTTACGCAGGTTATGTTTTTTTTTCTGCAACGGCTTCAACATTAGTTCCCGTACT